CGCAAACTCACAGAGATCTGCCTGCCTCTGCCTCTGGAGTGCTGGGATTAAAGATGTGCACCACCACCGCCCATCCTGGTGTAGTTAAATTTTTATATGGATGTTATGATTGAAATTATACATAAAAACCTATATTTTGCTTTGTGGTTTCTTTCTGTCTCCTTCCTTCTTTCTTTCCTTCCTTCCTTCCTTCCTTCCTTCCTTCCTGTTTTTTTTTTTTAGACAGGGTCTCTCTATGCAGCTCTGACTGACTTGGAACTCACTATGTTGACCAGACTGGCCTCAAGCTCTGCCTAGGTGTTGGGATTAAATGCATGGGCCACTATGCAACACTGCTTTTCTATTGCTGTGGTAAAGTAAAACACTTTCTATACTGTTTCGCTGTGGATTATACTCTTAGAATGTAGAAGAATTTTGTGGGGCAAGAACTTGAATTTAAAATATGTTCTGCTTGAATGCCATCAAAGTATCAAGAACTTTGTAGAATTCCTCATGTTTGGATATATAAATTGGATATTAGTCTTAAACAAATCTAGTGTTCATCAGAAAAGAACTCTGAAATATTTTAAGTAATATTAGTAAATTAGACTTTCAAAATGATATACAATTCACACACCATAATTATTCACCTTTCTTAGAAATTAAAACACTGCTTCATTATCAGCCTTTATTGAACTGCTGAGTAGACAGAGGACAGCATGGACTTCCATCCCCTTTACTTTGCTTTTACTCATCACAAAGGCTTTGGGAGAGAAAGAGAAATTCCATTTCCTATTTAGTTTGGTAGTTTCTCTAAATTGCTTTTTACTGTCACCACTGGGATAATTACTTTCTGTGTTGGGGAAAGAATTATAAAGAATCCTGTGCTTACTTAGAATTTTTTAAAGAGGGTTATTTACAGAGAAGTAATTATTTTGTATGTTTAAAGTTGATAACAGTATGTGTGTTTTCAGATCACTTTTACCATTTTTCTGTAAAAGAAATACTTTCACTGCTGTGTTAAAACTCACAGAGTAGTGGATAGTGTTTTCTTTGACTTTTGGATCCATGTCCTGATTTTACAGCATTCAAAGCTTATGAAAAAGGGTAAGTCTTTGAAAGTTCTCAAAGCCAAGCGAACATTGCCAGCTTGTTGCATAGATTTAGAATAGCTGTAGAAATCGAGCATGTTACCAGTTCACATTGAGAGCTCCTGAACTTCCAACTTTCAGGAAAATTTAACTCATTTCAGCAGAGAAGAGCCTTGGCTCTTCAGATTTAGAAGTTACATTTTGTATTGAAAAGTACTGCCAGGCTTTGGTGGCGCATGCCTTTTATCCCAGCGCTCAGAGGCAGAGGCAGGCAGATCTCTGAGTTTGAGGCCAGCCTAGTCTCCAGAGTGAGTGCCAGGATAGGCTCCAAAGCTACACAGAAAAACCCTGTCTCAAAACCCCGCCCCCCCCAAAAGAAAAGTACTTTAAAATTTTATTTTAGAAGTTTTGTGTGGGTATATTTTTAAAATTGTTTTTGGATTAGGATTGTAACTTAGTGGTAGGATATGTACCATCCTGTACCCATTACATTCTAATCTAACTTTTTGAAAAAGTAAAACAAAATAAAACAAACAAAAAAGCCTTGTTAAAGAACTATATTAGAACTAGAGTGAGGCATTAGGGTATAGCATCAGAATTGTCTTCTACAGGGAAGCTACTGGTCAAGTAATTAATTTTTATTTCAGTATAATTTTATTTTTCTAGAATAAAATTGTTAAAATTTTAAGTATGTACACACAGCATTTTAAATTTTAAAAAGAAATCAGGCCTTATTTTAAATTCATGGAAAAGTAACAGGAACAGTAAAACAGCTATCATCTTGTATAACAAGGTATATATTATCATCTTGTGTAACAATGGAATAATCTATTATTAGATTATTAGAGTAGGAATGTAATCACAGCACAATACTATTTGGTTAACTAAAGAGCTTACTCAAGCTTCACAAGTTTTTCCACTGACACCCTTTCTTTTGCTATAGGACCTTGTTCACAATTCTACACTCCATTTATTTATTAGTTTGATGTCTTCTATACTGTAATCCATTCCTCAGTCTTTCCTTAACCTTTTAAACAAATGCAAGAGTATATATACATATGGATTTGTGTGCAGGTGCATGTATGTGTATACACACATGGAGCCTGAGGACAATCTTGTGTGCTACCCATAGAAATGGCATTCTGTCTCCTAGGAGATAGACTCTCATTGGCCTGGAGCGTACCAATTAGGTTAAACTTGCTAGACAGTGAACCTCACTGATGTTCCTGCTTTTGCCTTGCCATCAGTGGGAAGGATTCCAGAGATAGAACTCAGGTCCTTATGCTTGTGTGGCAACTTCTCCAGTCCCTTTTGTTGACTTTTATAACCTTGACACTTCTGAATTTTCTGTTTATTTTGTGGAATGCTAATGGTTTGTTCTTGTTAGTGCTTATGATTGGAGTGAGCTGTTTTTGGTGAGAGTACTGTATACAGTACTGTATACAGTGCACTAAGAAGTTCTTGATTTCAGTTTGCTTCCTAATTGCTTTAAAACACAAGACACTACACCAGGAAGTTCATGGGATCAGTTTGCCTCCTGATTGTTAATGTTTACCTCGATCCTTTGGTTAAAGTGATATCTCCCAGCTATCTCCACCCTAAAGTTAGTATGTTGGGCTTCTCCAGAAAAGCAAACCTCATAAAAATGTGTATATGCTTGTATGTATATAGAGCTTTATTTTGAGGAATTGGCTTGTATAAGTATGAGGATGGTAAGTTTGGAATTTGCAAGGACAAGTACAGTGTAATTTAATGTTGCAGTTTATGTCCAAAAGTAGTCTGCTGGGAAACTGTCCTCTTTGTGGAGGTCTGTCTTTTCCCATTAACTTGGATAAGACTCCTTATTGTGGTGGAGGACAAAATTGGTAGATGTAAGTGTTGATCCCATCCAAAATATTCCTTCATAGAAACATCTGTAATTGTGTTTGTTCAAAGATCTCCTCATTAGGGTCTCACTAAATTGCTGGGAAACCAGCATGGAACTGATCCAGACCCCATGAACTTGGGTGTCAGTGAGGAGGCCACGGAAATCTATGGGGCCCAGTACTTATCCCTATCGTAGGAATGGACTTTGGGAGCCCATTCCACATAGAGGGATACTCCCTCATCCTAGAGACATGGGAGGGGGCCTAGGCCCTATCCTAAAGGATATGACAGACTCTATAGACTCCCTTTGGAAAGTCTCAGCCTCCCTGGGGAGCAAAAATGGTATGGGATAGGTAGGGTGTTAGTGGGGGGCAGGGGAGGAGAGGAGGGAGTAGGAACTGGGATTGACATGTAAAACAATATTTCTAATTTAAATTAAAAAACGGAGAAAAAATTAATCATGGCAGTTAATACCATTTTTTTGTGTGTGGGATATTGTTTTTTGTTTCTTTTCCTTTTTTTGGTGGAAGAGGGTTTTGCTGTGTTGACCAGTATCCAGGTTAGCATCAAACCTCCAAGCTCACATAATAGTCTTGCTTTCTTCTTCCAAGACTATAGTTTTGGAAGGCTGTGCTGAGGTTCTTTATTGTTTTCAGTACTGGGGATTGAACCAGGGGCTTGCTTGCCATAAGGAGTCCCTTCCCCCAGCTACTTCTTTCCTTTCCTGTTCTTTCTTACACTTTTACTTAATAAATTTAGTATCCATCAGAAGATCCTATTAAGATCTTTCTCAGTCTGATTTTTTATCTCATGGTTTAAAAAAAAAGATCTCATATCCTTCATTTATTTCTTAAAATTATGTTGTATGAAAAAAATCATGACTTCAACTTTTGTTGAAGAATGATGTGTAGAGGTCAGATCCAGTCCCTCCCTCCATCCCTCCCTCCTTCCCTCCCTCCCTCCTTCCTTTGTCTGTCTCTCTTTGTCTCTCTCTTTCTCCACCCCCCACCCCAGATGACTTGGAACTTGCTTTGTAGACCAAGCTGGCCTGGGACTCACCAAGATCTACCTGCCTTTGTCTGCCTCCCAAGTGCTAGGATTCCAATGATTTTTGTATTTTCTTATTTGCCTCATGGATCAATCATAAATCTTATATTTATATAGATCCAGATGTAAACAAAAAAACTGAAAAGAAAACAGTTGAACGTGAACGTGAACGTGAACGTGAACGTGGCCCCATTGTAAAAAAGCAGCCAGCAAATACAGCTAAAAAAGGAGCCCGCAAAGTCAGCGAACCAGTACCAGGTATGTTGCTCTAGGGGAGGCCTAGAAAATAGCAAAGACTCACGTGTGAGGGAGTGCTAGTTTGCTTGTGGACATTGAAATGTGTCCCCTTCCTATTAACCTTTTGGTTAGCAGCAGCCAAGACAGGTTCTTTACCATAGTTCTAGTGATTTTTAAACTTGTTGAAAAGATGGATCAACTGGAAATCATTGTAGTTTTATGGAATACTGACTGCATATAGTAATGTTGTATTTAATTCCATTATGTGAAGTAGGAACAGTTTTATTAGAAGACATTATATTATAACCACACAATATAAAGCCAGTCAGAGATTTTTCCCACTCTAGAGGTTGGCCTTTATGGAGAAACAAGTTGTGTATGCATGTGATGTCATTGGTCTGAGAAGCCCTTTACTGATTTTTTTTTTTTGTTTTTGCCCTTCACTCTTTTAAAAACTAGATGCTATACCAACTTAAACTACTATGGCAGTCCAAGATTTGAGTCCTGGCTTTGTACCACTTTCACTGAGTGGCAATGGCAGGTGGAAGTCATTTAATTTCTCTTACAATAAATTTATGAACATTTTACTTCAAGTTTAATTTTGGTAGACAATTATTTATGCTGCTTTTGCTTATATTTTCCATATAATATTATTTATATCCCAGTTCTTTTCCTTTATTGCTGATTTTCTTTTTTTAAAAAACAAAAGGTAAATTAATTCTTTGTTTTTATAGAAGTAGAAGAATTGCCTCCAATTGATCATGGCGTTCCTATTACAGACCGAAGGAGCACTTTTCAGGCACATGTGGCCCCCGTAGTCAATCCTAAGCAGGTACGTGACTTTGTCTTATCCATCTGGGGCCTATTCCACCAGTGCGGTTCTAATATATGGTTTTGCAACAACACCTTCCATCTCACTCATAGGGTTTCACATAAGATAAACATTATTTATTTGTTTCCCCACTCCTAAATTCCTGTAAGCATGAGAGATTTGCTTGATTCTGCTCTCAAAATTACGTATACTTTGTTTTTTTGTTGAGGATTAAATTAGGTCATATTCATTCATGCCATCATAGAAACATCTGTTATTGTGTTTGTTCAAACATCTCCTCATTAGGGCCTCACTGAGTTGCTGGGAAACCAGCATGGAATTGATCCTGACCCCATGAATGTGAGTGTCAGTGAGGAGGCCACGGAAATCTATGTGGCCTCTTCTAGTAGATCAGTATTTATCCCTAGCATAGGAATGGACTTTGGGAGCCCATTCCACATAGAGGGATACTCCCTTATCCTAGACAAGGGGAGAGGACCTAGGCCCTATCCCAAAGGATATGACAGACAAGCAATCTATCACTGAGTTACAACACAAGGGTTCTATTTAATCTCTGACTGGATCTTATTCTTCAATGAATCTTCAAGAAAAACTCGTATTTCCATAGACGACCATGATGCTTACCAGCTGGTCAAAAGGAATTATTTGTTCTACTGAATATGTGAATCTAAGTACATTCTACTCTTGCCTGATGAGGGAGGGCATTTGGGCCAATATGCCAAGGCCAATCTTCCTTGGTGTTAGTCGACCATATTCCCACCAAAGGATGTAAATGGCAACTCATTTTTCAAAACCTCTGTTTGTAGGTCCTTGTCTTTCTTATGTCTTTCCAGTAGGATCTGTCTTTATTCTATGATCTAGCAGAAATTTAACTGTATTGATGTACAAGGTGGTTCCTGTTGTACATATACAGTTAAATAACAGGAAAAGTGCCTTTGTTCACCACTTTGGGGGTTAGTCTCCTCCCTTTGGACTCTGTTTCTGCTTTAACCTCTACTCCCTCTGTCTTTTCTTTGCAATACCCAGTACTTCCCACATCTAGGCAAGAACTCTATACCCCAGCACTCTAAGCACCTGGACTCTTAGGAATGGAATTCTGTTTACAAGGATGATGCTCTCAGGACTTGGGACAGGATGTTCTCCTCTATCCAGATGTGTGCTCAAAAGAACCATTTTCCCATTCAGCTGACTGATTTTCCTCTCAAGTCCCATTCTGTCCTTGGCCTTTGCTCACACTCCTCTAGGATCCTTCTCGGACACTCTTCTGAATTGTCCATCCTGGACCCACTTTTCATGATCACAGACCCTTAGACCTTGGAGAGCAGAAATCATCTTTACGATGATTAACCTATTTTACTGTATTGATCCAGAGTCTGGTAACTTATGACTGCAGATTGCATGGTATATGATTAAACTTGGTCTCTCTGAGTTCATCTCAGACTGTTTTCAGTATTTTTCTTGAGTTTGTGGTGGTCTGATCATATCTCACTCTCTTTTTCACCCAGTCTCCTCCTTAGAGTCTTTGCTGATTTCCATTGCAAGGGGAAAAAAAATCTAAACTCTATACAAAACCACTTGTGTTTAATTCCTAATGGTGCAACTTGCAACTTCTTCATACTCTTGTAGCATATAGCATTTCCTTAGCCTCTCTTCTTTTTCCTTTTAGGGCTGACAGGAAATAAAGACACCGGTTAAAGCTGAGTCTCAAGTAGACATTCATGGGACATACTTTCTTTATTTTATATTTATATTGAAATATATCTGTTGTTGATTTGAAATTTTGTTTTGACTGGACATTTTTTATTGTTATTTATCTAGTCCTCCTATTCCTTGCATTTCCCCTCTAAGTGAATTTCTTCATGCCTCTTCCTCTCCCTTGCATTTTGATGCAGAAAAGCTCCACTTACAAGAGCAGGGTCAGGACTCCCCTGTGAAGCATGCTTGATTCCTAGAGATGGTTTTGATTTCTAACATTGGGAGCATGCTGTTACTGTATACCCATCACAGAGTGAGCACATGCAGGACATTCCAGAACTAGTTTCTGGAATGCTTGCATTTACATGAAAATTTCTCTACATGGGGAATAAACTTCCATACATTGTGCCTTAGACATACAGACTAAGCATCTATTGGTAATTAGTGCTTAGAAAATGTCTGCCCGATTAGGTTACTTCAGAGTGTAGGGGATTCTTTAAGTGACTATTTTGGTATACGATTTATATCAAATCACTTTAATTCTACTTTTCTAGCAAATAAAAGTTTACAAAGCAAATGAAAGTCATACTTGTTTATTTATATTACTGCTTTTTTTAAGGTGAAAATGGTTCTTTCCAAATTGTATGAGAATAAGAAAGTAGCCAGTGCCACCCACAATATCTATGCATACACATGAGTAACAGTTTTATTTTTTTTATTCTC